TCCCAAGGTCTTTAGAGACTAATTTGAGGGAAGTGTTTGGTTTTGATAAAAATATTTCATCTTCTGCATATTGCTGCTTTTTTGTTTGTGCCTGCAAGTTTCATTGCTGCAGTGGATCCATTGTTCCTTATCCTTGTGTAGGAGTCTCCATAGCTGATGCAGTATAATGGAGAACATGAGCACCTGTACCTAGTCCCTTTAAAGGGAACCTTAACCCCATTAACTCACATGGTTGTTTTGGGGATCAGGGGAAGGGCAGATAGTTCTTTAAATAGCTGGGGGCCAATGTCTATATAGAATAGGACTTGAAATAGAAAGTTCTACTCTGTTCTGTCAGGCTTTCTGTGCATCTCGTGATAACAAGAGAATTGGATCTTTTTTTGAATTGGCATTATGGATGATTCCAAGTGTTCTTCAGATATTGTCTGACATTTATCTATCCTCAATGAATTCAGTTTGATTTGGATTTATAATAAGCCAAGAGCATCGACTGCAATTAGCTACATAGTATTTTTGCTAAAATCATAGTCATCATTCAACAAAGATATGGGCCCATGGGAACTGCAAACTATAAGGTTGCTGCCATCTTTAGGGAGAACAACCACAGTAGCTTCTTTCATAGGTTGTGGAAGTTCCTCCCCTAACAGACTGGCAATGCCACCTGTCTCTAATTGGGCGGGGCAGTCCCAAAATGTACATTTCAAGTTGCAGGCTGAATGACTATGGGACAGCATTTGTCCTGGATTTCCTTTGGCATCACTCTGCACCTCCCCAAGGCTCCGGGGCAGCCCTAGCTTCTTCCAAGTGGTGGTGGGGAGGCTGAGGTTGGCCTTAGCTCCCTACTTGCTCCACCTCCTGTTCCTCCTGAGGCCTTGCCTCTGGCTAGGCCGGAATCTTGAATACTGGTTTAGAGCCATCCAGGGAGCCCAGGCTGCTATGGAGAATCCTGGACCCTCCACCTGCCAGAGGCAGCATGCCCTGCAGGTGAGGCCATAAGCTGCTCTTGGGCACACAGACCTTCTGCCTATGGCAGGTGCACAGTCCAAGGCTCCCCAGGCAGGACTGGTTTCCTTGGAAGGTTCTCACTACTGCCCAGCTCCAGCTTCTGGCCTGGCCGGGTAGTGGGGCCTCCGAGGGAAGAGTGGGGGTGCGGCTATGGAATGGGTGGGGATTCCTTTTTGCATTTTGAAAAGATGGTCACCATGAATGGCACTGAAGGTGCCTCTTGAAGGACCCATTAAAACCTTCATAAACATCATCTTTAGTTCTTCTCACTGTTCATACTTGCTATTTCCTCTTGGAGTTCTCTGATTTCTCAGCTAAAGTTTCTTTATCAATTGCTTTCATCTTTTGCAAGCCTGCTACTTCCAGATATTTTTTGAATAATTTCAGCATTTGGAATATCTGTGATATAAAAAAAAATCTGTACAATAAGCAGCAAAAGAAGCACACGATTTATATTTTGCTGACTGTTCTTAATTGATGGAACAATACATTAATCCTGAATCTAGTTAAGCTTTTGAACCAATAGCCAATCACTTTTATTTCCTTTTTACAGAAAACATCTGCTTTGTATACCTCAAGGCATTTTTAGTGATCTCTCATTTCAACTTATTCATTATTTTGAACCGATCTTTTTGTTATTGGTTTGCAACCTAGCTCCTGTTCTAGTTTCTGTTTTTTCTGTATGGAAAGCTACAAATGGGGACTTTCTTATAGACCAGAAGATTTCAGTGAGAAATGCTGAAATGCCCATTTGTTGGGAGACTCTTTATACTCCTTATTCTAGCCGTGGCTCATGAACCTTACATGGGAAACCTGGACAGCAGTAATGAAATGACATGAGATGAACAGCTGGATGACAGTGGAAAGTGGTTTTGGTAAATTAAAGGTGTGCTGATGATACCTTTATGACAGTTAGACCTCACTTAAATTATTACCATGGTCAACATAGCCACATCTTTTATGTTTCATAATCTTTGTGGAGCGACGGGTAAAAGGCTTGTTCAGAAGTGGAGTGTTGAAGCAGATCGCTTGGCTACTGATTTTGAGCAGTCAGATACCAGGGATATCAGAGAGGCGTGGGAGGTGGAGGAACTCGAATCCGAGAGGCTTTGTGGCCACACTCTGAAAATGAAAACTAGTAATGTATATCTCTGATTGGTGCTGCAATGTTACATTACATGTAGTTTTCCTAGGAAGCAATGGTGACATTTTTTGGCTCTGCATTCTAGTAAGCAAATGATTAAACTGCCTGTATATGTACTGATATTGCCTGCTATCTCAATCTGTAGGAAGCAAAGATGAATTACCATTCAAAAATTCTACTTTTTATTGTTCAAGAAACAACTCTCTCTCTCTCTCTCTCTCTCTCTCTCTCTCTCTCTCACACACACACACACACACACACACACACACACACACACACACACACACACACACACACACACACACACTCCTGGACATAGTAAACTCATCTAGACCACTTTTCTCTAGTTTGTTTATGAGGCTATCGTATGGGACGGTGTCAAAAAGCTTACTGAAATCTAAGTGATTCATATCTATTACTTCCTCTTCTATCCCCCAGGCTAGTTACCCTGTCAAAGAAGGAAATTAAATTGGGTTGGCATGGTCTGTTTCTGACAATTACTATTTGTTATGACCCTATTATCTCCTATGTGTTTGCAAACTGTTTGATAATTTGTTCTACTATCCCTCTGGAAACTGAAGTTTGGGTGAGTAGTGTATAATTTCAAAGATCCTCCTTTTCCACTTTTTTAAAGATAGGTACAGGTTGAACCTCTCTAGTCCGGCACCTTTGGGACCTGACTGGTGCCGAACCAGAGAATTTGACAGACCATGGGAGGTCAATATTGTCTAGCAGCATTACTAACACTTACACTGCTTACTGAGCTTTTAGAAGACATTTAGGGGATAAATTAGGGAACGTCTACACTGCATCCCTAGTTCAGACTAGAGATACAAATGGAGATGACCGAAGTAGTTAACGAAGTTTTAAATAACCCGCGCTTCATTAACATGATCTCACCGGCGCGCTAGTTCGAATCACAGCTGATTCGAACCAGGAAGTGTGCGCCGGGATGCGTTAGTGTGGACTAAAGCCCTTAGTCCGAACTAACGTTACTCCTCATTTTTTGGTTGTCTCCATTTGCATCCCTGAACTAGGGATGCAGTGTAGACGTACCCTTAGATATAAATAACAGCACAGAAGACTGAGAGCCAGGACTGGTGGCTATGAACACACTTTATGGGACTACAGGAAACTCGGCCATGCCCATGATAAGTGGATGTTGTGGGATGAGAGAGTGATGGACTAGAGAGGTTCAACATGTACTATGTTTGCCTTTCTCCAGTCCTTGGACACCTCCCCTGTCCCCCAGGAGTTCTTGAATATAATTGCTTATGGTTCTAAGATAGCTTCAGCTAGTTTCTCAAGTATACTAGGGGGAATTTCATGGGACTTTGCTGACTTGAACACATCTAATTTATCAAAATATTATTTATCCTGTTCTTTCCATATTCTGTCTTGTTTTGTTTTTATATTGTTTTAAACCTCTGATCACAATTAACTTTTTGTAGTGAAAACTAAAGCAAAATAGACATTAAACACCTCCCCCTTCTTGATGTTATCTGTTATCTCTCCTCTGCTTAGTAGACCTATGCTTTCCGTCATCTTTCTATTGCTCCTGATGTATTTATGGACCCTCTTCCTATTGTTTTTATGGTCACTGCATTTTCTCCTATTTTATTTATTAATATCTATCATCCCATGCATTTATAGGGCTCCAATCATCATGATAATGTAGCCTAATTAATATTGGGTCAATTAAAATTTTGAAATAAAAGAAGCAAATACACCATATGAAGCATGAAGAAAGAGCTGACCGATCAGGCAATTGCCTGGAATTTTATATTTCACAGTTATTTGAAATATTGGGCAAAGAAATATATCTCGCATCTCTCATTCTAAATATGATTGCTTCGATCTTATGTGTGTTCCATCTAGGAGAAAATGCCTGTCATGGTCCTATTAACACTGACAATCATTTCTTTGTTTAGGCTCCAATGCTAGAAAAAAAGGAGAGTGCTAGCTCTCTTTTGGCCATGAAGTTCTTGCCCACAGAGTTTGAAGATTGGTATATTTGCATTGTTGATTTGTTAAATCTCATCCATATTTTAAATGTAAAGACAATTGGTGGTATTTACAGTGTAGAAGGATTTTCCTTTCATTTGTTTCTAATGTGTTTTTAAGGGTGACACAAAACAATCTCCCAGCCTCTCCGCTGCTGTGTAATACACAATATATCTAGTAGGCTTTGATTTCCACTCCTCTCCCATTAGAGGAATAGTAAATGTGTCTCTTAAAAAGCATTAGGATCATTACCATCAAATCTCTTTGGATAGATTCAAAGGTCAGACAGGACCACTGCAATCATCTAATTTGACCTGCTGTAGAACAAAGGGCATAAAACTCCCCACAAATAATACCTGTTTGAGCAAGAGCGCCTTTTTTTTTTACCAACCGGCTGACTGACCAACCAACCAACTAATCATTTTTTATTTAAAAATTGCCAAAGATGGATAATTATTTTGGAGAAGTTCTGTGGCCTCTATTATACAGGAGGCTACACTGGATGATCACAATGGTTGCTTCTGGCCTCTGAATCAAAGGATACAGGGATATCTGGGTAATATTTAATGGCCTGCAATATGTGGGAGGTGAGACTAGATTATCTAATGATCTCTTCTGGCCTTGGACCCTGTGAAACCAAGTCCTCCATAACTACTGGTAATTTTTTCCCCAGTGGTGAATGATGCTCACATTTAAAAGTGTATGCTTTATTTCCAGTCTGAATTTGTCTAGTTTCAACTTCCAATCCTTGGATCTCATTGTACTTGTGTCTACTAGATGGAAGAGCCCATTGTCAAATACAGTAGAACCTTACCGTTATAAAGACCACTGGAAAGGAGGTTGTTCTTAATGCTGAAAAAAATTCCATGTTTATTCTTTCAAACATTTATAACTGAACATTGACTTAAAAAGGCTTTGAGACATTACTATGTGGAAGAAAAATGCATCTTTTAACCATCATAATTTAAATTAATCAAGCACAGAAATAGTTTCTTACCTTAGCAATTTTTAAATCAAACTTTCCCTTTATATTTTTAGTAGTTTCTGTTTAACACAGTACTGTACTGGATTTGCTTGTCTCTGCTGTTGTCTGATGTGTAATTCCAGTTCCAATGAGGGGTGTGGTTGATGCATCAGTTCATAACTCTGAGGTTCTATAGTAAGTACTTAATGGGTAATCAGTATGCAGCATGGCATTTGAGACCATTTGGGTAGCAGAAGTTTTCATTGTGTAAACTGCTCCTGCACATCTAGAATAAACATCAAATGCAATTGGTATGTTGGGTTTGCACTTTTCTGCCAACATACATATATTCGGAGGCCTGGAGATAGTGAGCAGCTAGATGCTAGTGTCCCAAAGTAGCAATGTTTGTAGGTAACAAAGCAAAAATGTCCAAAGATCTAGAAGAACCAATATTTGAAGGTGCCAAAGCACAGACTGGTGGCTGAAACAGTCATTCCGGCTTGTAAGCATCAGCACAGCTGAGTTTCAAGAGCCCTCCCTGTTCTGAGGAAATGTCATGTCAGTTCCTCTTACTTGTACTGAGCTGGAGAAAGGTCCACAGATCTCTCCCTTGTTGTTTGTGGTTCCAGACCTGCTATCTGTTGTCCAGGTACTGTGGGTTAAGATAATTGTAAGGAAGCATCTTAATACACTCTGCTGTTTGACCTACAAAGAAGCCCTGTAAGGAGGAGACAGGGACCACATACGAGAGATTTGAGACTAGGTAAAGGACCGTTGCCACTGGTGCCCATTCCTGTGGTGATGTTCTGCATTGCAGCTCTGCTCTGTGGTCAGCAAAAAGCTGGGAGCGTTGGGACCCAATATTTCCCATTGCCTTGTGATATGAGGGGAAAGGTTCCTTAAAACACCTCAGGGGTGAAATCACTCAGTGATCTGGAGGCAGATAATTTCTGGCAGGGTACTGTGCCAATCACATTCACGTACCACAGGAAACCTGTCAATTGAGGGCTTGGTGATGAGGCACTGAGGGAGCAGAGTTCAGACTCATGACAGTTTGATGATGAACTGACAGCTCTGAAAGAGACACACAGGGTAATTGTTAGGTTCAAATATCAATAGAAGTAAGTAGGAAAAAATGACATAAGTCTGAGTGTGGCACCAACTGCCATACAGAGCACACCATCAACTTTCCTTTTCTGCCTCTCTTCCTAAAAACTTTTTAAATTGACAGAATTTGAGGCAGAGAAATCTGATTCCTGAGGGTAAACCCCAGGGAAATCTGAGTTTATCAGCTCTAGGCTGATCTTAAATGACAGCCGAAGGAGCAGCAGTCCCTAAGTGATGTGCTACAGGGAGGGTAGAAAAGAAACTGAGAACCACCCATTTATGCTGCTACCCATTCAATTGGGGCACAGCAACCTGCTTAGGTGTATCCATGGTGGGACAGCAGCCCACTCCTTACAACTTCTTAGCTGTGGGAGTTCTGGTCATGACCTGGGAGCATGAACACAAGTGTGGCCATCGCTTACACTGGATTTTTTAAAACCAGAAATAGGCAGGTGTGAGTACAGAATAATTAATCATTTTCAGAGTTGACAGGGTATATGAAATTGTGTTTAAAATATTAGATATGTAAAAAGGAACAAGCAATCTTCTCTTAATTGTAACCATGGTTCTTCCTTTTCTCTGCCCTTTCTTTGGGCCACATTTGTTATTTGTAACACTGGGCCAGGTCCCCTGCTAGGTAAATCAGCAGAGTTCAGTTGACTTCAATAGAACAACACCAACTGAGCATTGGGCAAAAGAGGTCTTAACTGCTGGCTCTATCTCCCGATGGGCCAATCTCAGCACTCTCAAGGAGCCACACTTGTCTTCAGTGGAGCTTGGATCAGAGGCCTGCCTTCATGGAGCTCATTGCAGGGTCTGGGTTTTACATTGAAAGCCCTGTCGGACCAGGGCCATTTCTCTGTTACATTTCTGTAAAGTCCCTAGCACGCTTCACCAGGGGTGGGGGTGGGATACTGGTACTGGGCTGTGTAGGGTACCAGCACTGGTAGGATAGGCCTGGCTGTTGCTACTTGGGTAGTGCCTGAAGTGTGCTAGAGACTTCAGTGAGGAAAGGGGTTGCCAACTCCCTTAGACCGGACACCACTTACTGTAAAAGCGACGAGGAGTCCTGTGGCACCTTATAGACTAACAGGACTCCTCGTCGCTTTTGCAGATTCAGACTAACACGGCTACCACTCTGATACTTGACACTTACTGTAGTGACATCCAGACTGTTTGGTCTGAGAGACTTGGCAGCCTGGAGCAGGGTTGGGAGGGAGGCATGGGCCGGAGGAGCAGCAGGCAGCTGTGCAGCAAGCTGGAGAGAAGAGGTGCTTTTAAGGGGAATATGCTGCTTCTCTCTAGCTACCCACTGTGTGGCTGCCCCCTGCTCAGTCCTCCTGCCTGTGAGGATTGCCTGCCTCCGCCTCATGAGTGGGAGCTGGGTGCTGAGCCCTGGGTGCTGAGCCCTGGAGTTCAAGGTGGTCAGACCAGTGCTGAACTGGGGGTGGGCAGCCTGGGGATGAGAGTGGCCGGAGCCCGTAGGCAGCACACAGCTGTATAAGACACCATGAAACTTGGGACAATTTGGTGTCCCAGATTCCATGGTGTCCTATGCAGCTGTGTTTTTCCTGTTGGTAGGGATGGATTTTAATCCCAACTCTTCCAACCTTCACAGTTAGGTTTGGGTTTGGATTTGTTTTAGTAAGAGAGTGAAGACTGATCCTTAACTTTACTCTTCAGATCTGCAGTCCTGGTTCAGGCAGTCATGCTAATGTGTATGTTCGATTTATTTTTCCTTGACTTGTTGGTTGTAGGGATAGAACACAAAAATTACAGCACGCAGCACTGTCTGTTAGGAATGTGCCAGACCGCTGGGGCAATTGATCATTTGAATTTTACTGCCATCTAAAAATAGAAGTAGGCATAATTATGATGTGGTGATCAACCCATACAGAGGTGTAGTTCTCAAAACTTGAAGTGAGAAGTAGATGTAGAAATCCCCTCAACAAATGACATGATTTGTATACAGCTCTTCACTCATCCTCCTTTGACAATTTACTATCACCACTACTCCACAGCTGCAACTGTATTTATCTTGTTGTTAAGAACACATGATGATCAAGAACTTTGGAAGTGGTAGCCTTTTGTATTCAAGAAATCTGCCTGCTTTGTCTTACCCAAAGAGCACTTAATCACTATATCTGGTTGTCAAAGGATGCATCTACATAGGAACTAAAGACCCACAGCTCTGCTGGCCTGGTCGGTTTACTTGGGTTTAGACTCTGACTTGAGACTGAAAATCACTGTGTAGATGTTTGGGCTTGAGCTGGAGCTAGATAACCAGATAGTAAGTGTGAAAAATCAGGAGTGGGGGGTGTGGGTAATAGGCACCTATATGACAAAGCCTCAAATATCAGGAATATCTCTTTAAAATCAGGACATCTGGTCACTCTAGCTGGAGCCCAAACATCTACACGGGAATGGGTAAAAAGTGGCCCCAGGCCAGATGCGGTTCACCAGGGTTCACCTCTGGTGGGCTGCCAGATCTTTATATATCTGAACATCTGTGGGTCTGGCTGCTCACAGCTCCCATTGGCCACGGTTCGCTGTTCCTGGCCAATGGGAGATGTGGAAAGTGGTGTGAGCCAGCCCATGGCTTCCCACAGATCCCATTGGCCTGGAATGGTGAACCGTGGCCAACAGGAGCTGCGAGTGGCTGTACTTGTGGACATTCAGGTAAGCATCTGGTGGCCTGCCAGCAGCAAACCCTGGCAAACTGCACCTGGCCATTGAGCTGCTTCTTGCCCACCCCTCATCTAGTGAATGTCTCAGCTGCCAAACCTCATGAGCCTGACTCAGCTCACCTGGGGCAGCTATGTCTTTTTCATCCCTGAGGAGACTTGCCCATACACTTTTCAGTACAGCACTCACTTGCATGATGTAGTCAGCAGCTCTAAGGGATACTCAGTTGTATAGTCCTGGAATGCGACAGTGCTAAGCTCTGTGGTATGCCTTTAAAAAAATGTCTGCAAAGGACTATTTCTCTTTTAAGAGAGGTGTTCTAAGAAGATTCACCCTGACAGCAGTGCAAAATAGAAGATTCAGTTTTCATTGCATCTCAGTGACTTTCATCTACAACTTGCACATCTCACAAGCAAAATGGGTCACTCTTCTAACTGCCACTCCTGAAAATTCAACCTTCCGTTTGTGGCTTTTCATTGGTCTGTCTTTGTGATAAGATCCAAGTACCTCATAAGGTTTTAACGTATTCATCCTTACAACGCCCCTGTGACTTAGGGTAATATTTTTATCCCCATTTTACAGGTGGGAACCTTAAGCCGAAAAAGAGAAGTGACTTGCCCAAAGTGACACACGAAATCTGTGGCAAGAACTGAGCCCAGTTTTCCCAAGCTTGTGCCCTAATAATCCTGCCTTGGGGCAAGCCTATGTTCTGTTTCACATTAGTAACGAAGAATCTGCAAGCAGAATGTAGTTAGCTATTATGTTAACAATGCATGTGAAAGAATAGAATTCACCTCACTCTTCCATTGCTGTATTAATTCTACTGATGTCTCTAAGGTTCTTTGCTTCTTTCTTTGTTTATATTATTTTCTTTTCCTAGTTAGCTTGTGGCCTTCTACTAAGATCTGAATTTGGCTACTAGGACCAGGCTCTGATACAGAGTATTTGCTCATGCCCTGTGCTTGTTTATACCTTGGTGTCCTACAAGGATTTTGGATAGCATCTTTCTAGAGTACCTTAGTGAAATATGTGTCATCCTTTCAGAAGCAGGCCACCAGTCACATGAAGGTCATTTGAACCTGTCAATATGGTAGTAGGTCTGCTGGAAGCAGATTCCTTTGACGTTAGCCTCTTTGTTAGAATTAAATCAATTTCTGGCAAGTCTAATTGTTTGGACTTTCATCTCTAATTTGCTGATGTTGGCTGGCAGATGCTGGAATTACTGACAGGGCAAGGTCAATATAGACCAGTGGTTCTTAACCTCCTCAGCACTGTTACCCCTTAAACTTAACCAATAAACCAAAGTTACCCTACCCCTTTTTTAAATGTCAATAGACAAAAAGAAAATTACAATTAATCATTTTTATTGTATTTCATTTTCTCATATATTATATTGAACACCTATTGTATTTTAAACTTCTTATATATTAGGTTCATTATTCAGAAAATGAAAACACATCACAAATAGCATTTCTCTGATGAAATTCTCAGTGTGAAGGTTGATACTGCTTCTGCTTGACTAGCTTAGAGATGCAAGGTTTTGTCACAGCTAATGCACATCTCAAGACATGACTAAGATCCAATCTATTCCTTGCCTTCATTTTAATGTTGACCATTGTAGAAAAGCCGACCTCACAGTGATATGTAGTGGCAAGTGGGATTAGAAGTTTGGGTATGTCTACACTACAGCGCTAATTCGAACTAGCTTAGTTCGAATTAGTTAATTCGAACTAAGCTAATTCGAACTAACGGATCCAGACTAAAAAACTAGTTCGAATTAGCGTTTTGCTAATTCGAACTAGCATGTCCACATTAAGTGGACCCTGAACCGGCTTAAGGATGGCCGGAAGCAGTGCCGGCAGGGCATCAGAGGAGGACTTAGAGCATGGAGATGCTGTCTCAGGCTAGCTGAGGGCTGCGCTTAAAGGGTCCCGACCCCCACCCCGGACAGAC